CCAACAAAGAAAGAAGCTGGGACCCCGTGGCCCCAGCGAGCCATGCTGGCCCCGCAAGCCGCTGCGGCACGCTCCGCTCTGTGTGTGTGTGTGTGTGTCTGTGTGTGTGTGTGTGTGTGTCTGTGTCTGTGTCTGTGTCTGTGTGTGCGTCTGGCTTCACACTCTTCGCCCTCGGGGACGGAGAAACAGGCTCCAGTCCCGAGAACGGCGGTTCCTCGCGGTAGGAATCACCATGTGTGTGCCAGGACAGTCAGGGCCCTCACGGGCGGTCCATCTTTCCGCCACGGTGCCCGGCGTGGGCGGTGACCCACCCACTTGCCCCCAGCCCCCGCACCCAGGGCTGAAATCAGTCCTCCTGCTGCGCTGCCTGGGACCCTTGGTGACCATCTGAGCAAAACGTGACTCTCTGGGGCGATGGGGTTGGGCCAGTCCCTCCCCGGGACCCTCCATGTGACCACGCTTGGCCCCGCGCAAGGCCTGGAGGGTGGACGCTATCCCGTGTCCACCCCTCCGAAAGGAAAGGCCCCCGAAGGGGAAAGTGTTGGCAGCGAGCAGAAGCCCCCACCGTGGGAAATAGGAGACGTGAAAGGAAATCACTGTCAGGAGCTCGTCCAACCGTCTGTCCATCCGGGTGCATGGCAGGGGGTCCGATCAGACCCCCAGAGGGTGCAGTGGGGCGGGGGGGCACTGTACTGTGTCCCTAAGTGCTCCCTGCAGGAGAGCCCGCCCAGAGGCCTGGGGGAGGCGTGAGTGCGGCTCTGCGTTGCTTTTGGGGTCGGGTCTCTCAGGCAGGGCCACTGGGGGTCAGTCAGAGCCACCACGTGTGGCGAGGGGCAGCCGCCCTCAGGGTGGCCACGTTTTGGGGAAGTCGGTTTGGGCCATTAGAGCCAGTGACAGGGCCCCGATGGACTCGGACCCTTCCACCTCGAACCCAGGGCAGAGTGGGCCAGGCAGAAGCGCTGGGGAGGGGGCAGAACATGTCTTCAAGACCCTCAGACCCCCCCACCCCGGGCACTGGAGGCTGAGGAGACAAGCAGGGGACAGGGATGGCTCAGCGGCAAAAGCACCTGCCTTGTGAGCGTGAGGTTTCGAGTTTGAACCCTGGTGTCACCACCTGTGCCAAGTGTGGTCTTGGCGGCTCTGCCTTCCTGACCCTCCATGCTGTGGCCGCAGGTCCAGGCCATGCCAGGTGTGTCCAAGCACAACCAAAGAGTCGCTGGAGCCAGATGCACACGCCCGGTCATCAACACAGCAGGGCCGGCAGGGGGGGAGGTAGGGGGAGGGGAGAGGCAGGGGAGAGGCAGGCTGGGGCCTCCAGCCTCGCATGCACCGACTGGGGCTGGAGCCCTAGAGCCCGCGGCTCCGGGCACCCCGGGCACCCCAGGACTTCGAACTCTGCTGGGTTCCCGGGGAAGCCCCCCGCCTCTTCCTGGGTCAATGCAGGGAATGGGAACGGTGGCTGCGTGACCGAGAACAGCCCAGGGGGCCCCTGAGCCTCCTGAGTGCTACTCGGGGCCCCCCAAGAAGACAGGCCCAGCCCCAGGGCTGCTCCCCAATCCCTGTACGTGCAGCTGCGACCCTGCGGGTCTGCCTGTGCTCTGTGTGGGCCCGTTGGCGGCCGCTTGCACGAGTCCCGCTCACTCCAGGCCCATGTGGGACTGTGCCCGCCTGGCCACCACGTGCCCGGGAAGTCAGGAAGCACCTATCAGGGCACCCCTATCTCACCCCTGAGGGCCCCCCTAAGAGCCGTGGGACAGGCACTCGAGCCCCAGGAGAAACCCAGGGGTACTGCCTTACACGCGGCTGACCTGGGTTCAATCCCAGCAGCCCACCTGGTCTCCCGATCCCAACAGGAGCGACCCCTGAGCACTGCTGAGTGTGGCCCCAAAACAAACAGAAAAGAATCCCAGGACCCGGGACAGTTCTGGGGTGCACCACCTGTTAGCTCGACCCAATCTTCAGGGCATCACAGGATGGAACCCCTGTGAGCAGAGACGAGAGGCAGCACAGGGACCCCGGCTGGAGGCAGAGCCGGAAGCGTCCAAGCTTTGTGGGACAGTCGGGAGCCAGGGACGACTCTTCCCGCCCCCCCTCTGACAGTGACAAGGTGCAGATGGTGGGGCATGGAGGGGGGATGGGCAGAGGATGGAGGGATATGAGTGAATGGAAAGATGGATAGATGGTAGGATGGGTGAATGAATAAATGGATGGATGGATGGATAAACAAATGAATGGATGAATGAGCATATGAATGGACAGATGGATGGATGAATGGATGGATGAACTTATGGGAAAGTGGGTAAGAAGGAGGGAGGGAGAGAGGGAGGAAGGGAGGGAGGGAGGAAAGAAGGGAGGGAGGAAGGGAGGAGGGAGGGAGGAAGAAGGGAAGGAGGGAGAGATGGAGGGAGGGAGGGAGGGAGGGGGAAGGAAGGAAGGAAGGAGGGAGGGAGGGAGCGAGAGAGGAAGGGAGGAAGGAAGGAAGGAGCAAGCCAAGGGGAGAAGAACAGACGGGAACAGCACCCTTTTTCCTGCAGGTGGAGAGGAGCACCTTGACATGGTCACTGATACCGAGTTTCCCTCCCGGAACCAGCTAGGCAGGACGGGGTGGCACCCGCATTTTACATTTAAGCCAACACTGGGGGTTCAGCTGAGGCTCCCAGGGGAGCCCCCTTCGGAGAACAAACCTAAAGGGGGGCCAGCAGGTTCCGTGGAGGGCAGGAGAGCTGACCAAGGCCAAGGCACCCCTGTACCAGCGGGCCCTGACCTTTGCCCCCGGGGCTTCCACCCTGGGTGGTTTTGGGGCGGTGCTGGACAGTGAGCTGTGGTCAGCGGAACGCCCAGCCCCAAGGACAGGGGCACCCTTCTACATGCCCACAGTGCCCTCCTTCGGGGAGGACCTGGGCAGAGGGTGCGGGGTTGGATGAGGGCGGCCCACGCAGCCCCCACAGGCCAGGCCACGTCCTCCATGCCGCCCAGCTGGCCTCCGCAAGCGGGAAGGCCCCAGACCCCGGCCACTCTCCCCGCTGCCTCAGTTTCCCCGGGTCCTCTCCACAGCTCGGCCTTCGCCGGGGCCGCTCAGACACTGGGAGCAGCCGGCCCCACTTGGCCCTGCTGCTTGCTGGCCAGCTCTTCCAGAACCCTTCCAGAACCTTCCTCGTTCTTCCTGCTCTCACTATCAACGTGGGGTGGGGTGGGGTGGGGTGGGGTGGGGGGGCGGGAGGCCCCCCATGCTGTGCAGCCCAGCAGGAGTGCAGCTGGGCGACGAGGACACCCCGGGGCAGGGCGCGGGCACCCTGCAGCTGGGCCCGCCCTGGGCTGATTCCCGGGCACCCAACAGGCCGCCCAGTTAAACTGGAATTTCAGCAGGAACAACGGGCAGCTTCCAGCGAGAGTTCATCTCGGGGTATCAGGAACTTCCCCGCCTCAGCCCAGCCTCCGGCCACTCGGGCACCCCACACTCCCCCAATATGCCATTCTGGGGGAGGCCCTCAAGTATTCGTCCCAGCACCGACTGCCTCTTTATGTTCAGGGGTCTGGGGCCACGTGCAGCGGTGCTCAGGGATCACTCCTGGCCAGGAAGCCGGGTCCAGCACAAGCGTTCTGCCCGTTGTCCTGTCCCCCAGCTCTGCTGCCTTTCCAGAGCAGGGACTCGGCCCTGCAGTGCTCAGCCCCACAGAACACCTCCAACTCCCTGGTAGGAGCGCAGCGCAGGGTTGTGGCGGCGCCGGCCGGCGGAGGGGCCCTGGCTCCGGGCAAGTCTTGGCTGCTGTGTGGGCCCGCGCCTGCGACCAACCTCACGTACAAACGGGTGCCCGGCTGCCGCTGACCCGGGACCCGGGACTGCTTCTTCCCAAGGAGAAGGCGCCCGGGAACACGGGAATACGGGGGTCGCCACCCAGGTGGGCCGGCCACCTGACCCAGAGCGGGCGGGGAGCCCGGGGCTGCCCCGCCCAGTCCCGCCCCTGCGGCCAGCCCAGCATGGGCGGGGGGCGCTTGAAGCGCGACCGGACCGGACCCCACCCCGCGCCCCAGACCCAGCGTGTGTGTGTATACGCGCGCGCGCCTATATGTGTGCGTGTGCGCGCGCGTGCGCCTGAGTGTACGCGCGTGCGTGTGGGGGTGCGTGTGTGTCTGTGTATCCGCGTGCGCCTGCGTGTGTGTGTGCGTGTGGGTGTCCGCGCGCGCCGAGTGTGTGCATGTGTGTGCGCGTGTGTGTCCGCGCGCGCGTGTGCGTGCCTGTGGTCAGCCTCGCCTGCTCCTGCGTTTGGGCAAACACTGACTTGGTTGGTGGACACCGGGGGTGTGGCCAGGGGGGCGTTCCCTCCTCTCCGGGAGCAGGTCCGACACCCCACCCGGGGGTCCCGGGCCCCACTGGCAGGTCGCGTGGCGCGGCCCGGGCTGAAGTTCGCGGCAGTTCCCGCAGCCCCCCACAGGGGCGCAGGGCGCGCTCCCGGGAGGGCGGCGGACCCCTACCCCCGGGCTCAGAAACACCCGGAGGAAACCTGGGGGCCGGGAGACCACACGTCCCCGGGCCCCGCGCTGTCCCCACCCCCGCCCCGCCCCGCGGTCCCGGACGCGGCTCCTCCTCCCCGCGCCGTCCACACCGCCCTCAACAAAACAACACGACGCGCCGCCGCCCTCCCCCCGCGCCCGCGCCGCGCCCGGCGGGCACTCAGTGGACACCGCGCCCGGCGACACTGAGCCGACACTGAGCGGACACCCAGCACTCGGAGGGCACTGAGCGGACACCCGCGCCCGGCGGACACTGAGCGGACACCCAGCACTCGGTGGCACTGAGCCGACACTGAGCGAACGCCCCGCGCCCGGCGGGCACTGCGTGGACACCCGCGTCCGGCGGGCACTGCGCGGACACCCGCGCCCGGCGGGCACTGCGCGGACACCCGCGCCCGGCGGGCACTGAGCGCACGCCCGCGCGACCTGCCCGGAGCCGCCCGTAGCGCCCCGAGCCGCAGACGCGCGTCTCGGGCCGGGGGTCTCACCGGGATGTGCACGCGCAGCGAGCGCCTCTTGGGCCCGGGGGTCTTCTTGGGGCCGCTCCCGCCGGGGCTGGCGCCGTCCTTCTTCTTCTTGGTGTCCATGGCCGCGCTGCCCATAACTCGCGCCCGGGGTGGATCCCGCGCCCGGGGTCCGAGGCCGCGGCGACACCGCGTGGGGTCCGGAGCGCGCCCGGGGCTGGCGGGCGTCGGGGCTCCCGCGGGTGGCCGAGTTCTGCTTTCTCCGGCGCGCGGCGCGACCGTCCCGCCCTCGGCTCCTCCCCCGGCCGGGGCGCTGGGGCAGGTGCCGGGCCGGGGCGCTGCGGGGCGCGGGCGGCGCGGGGCGGCGGCCGCGGGATAAACACGCCGGCGGCGGCGGGTCCGGCCCCCTGGGCGGGAGGAGGCGGCGCCGGGCCGGCCGGGCCTCGCCATTGGGTCGCGGGGGGCCGGGCGGGGCGGCGGGGCGGGTCCGGGGCTCCTCCCGCAGGGCCGGGTCCGGGTGGGTGGGCGCGCCCCGACCGCGCGCACGTGCCGCCGCCCCCGGCCGCCGGGAGGGACGCCGCCGGGAGGGACGCCGCCGGGTGCCCGCGGGCCTGGGGCGGTGCGGAGGCGGCCGGCTGCCCCCTGCCTCCACCCGGGTTAGGGACCCCCGGCGGGTTCCTCCGCTTCTCGGCCGGGTCCGGAGACCGGGGTAGTCCTAGAGGTCGCTGGACGCGTCTCAGGTGTCTGCGCCCCGGGAGGAGGGTCGCCCCTTCCATGGGGCCCCCGCGTCTTTCCTCCTTCCTCTCTAGTTCTGGCCTCCGGAGCAGTCCGGCCCGCGCGCGGGGTCCCCGGTTCCGATGCGCATTTGCGGCCGTCACCGGCTCCCCGCGGCCCGCATGACGCTGGAGTGGAGGGTCCCGCCCGGGACTAGCGGACTAGGCGGAGCCCTGCTCGTCCCTCAGACCACTGTCCCCCCGGGCACTCCTCAGCACTGCTGGGACCCCAAGACCCCCAAGTCAGGTGGCTGTCGGGCCTCCAGGTGTGGGATTTCCAGCCGTGGCCTTGGCTGGGGGTCGTGGGGAGGGGCAGGCCTTGCCCCCTGCCCTGTCCTGCCCTGCAGTTCCCCTCAGCCCACCTTCTGCCAGGGCACCGGCGCCCTCCAACAGGAAGGCAGCGCTGGGCAGAGCCCCCCAGCCCGGGGTCCGCGCAGGCTGGCTGGGGGCACCCTGGCCCTCTCCGCTGCAATTGGCACCAGCAGCTCCCTGGGCCTCGGCTCGGGCACCGTGGAGTCTGTTTGTTCCCGGGTCTGTTTGCTTCCCAGGGTCACTTTCCTGGCGCAGAGGTTGAGTGCCCGGCGTCCTGATCCTGAACATGTTGCAGTCCTGCAGCACGTCTGCGTGGGCCTTGCGCCGGCTGGACCCTGGGTTTGAGTCCTGGTACCCCACATGCCTCCCCCCAGCCCCACCAGGGGTCATCTCCAAGCACAGAGCCCCAGTACTGCCATGCCGAAGCCCCCGAAACAACAGGTGTTTTGCCCCCCCGTGAAACACGGCCTGCACTTTGTGTGAATCTGGGGTCCCTGTGTTAATGTCCCTGGACATTGCTTCTGGGTGGTGCAGGGGAAGGGACTGGCCAGCCTAGTCTTTGCTTTGGAAAAAGACTTTAAAATTGATGAGTTGGGGCTGTGGAGTGATAGCACAGCAGGGAGGACATTTGCCTTGCACGTGGCCGACCTGGGTTCGATGCCCAGCATCCCATATGGTCCCCCGAGCACCGCCAGGAGTAATTCCTGGGTGCGCGAGCCAGGAGTAACCCCTGAGCATCGCCGGCTGTGACCCAGAAAGCAAAAAATTAAAATTAAAATTAAAAAATAAATAAATTGATGAGTTAAGGCCCAGTGGGTGGCGGGCATGGAATGGGGGCTGGCCGGGGGGGGGGAGTGTAATTGCTCATTTGGGGGTGCCCGGGCCCCACCCCCTCATGCTGTGCTGGTTCTCTGAGCGTTTCTGAGCGCTCGCTGCAGTCCTGCGGGGCTGTCGGGTCCTGTTCCCAGGCTGTCCCCAGCATTCCAACTTCCACCCTTGCAGATACTGAGAAGTGCCAGGAGGGCCCTGCACCCCCTAAGCAGAACTTGGAAGACCCCCCCCCACACACACACACAGAAGAGGCGGTGCTGAGTACAGTATCACAGTTTTAACTAAGATCTGCCTCTGGTCTCGGGTTCCACTCTGTTCAGCTCCACACTGGCCCTGTAGTTACGGAGATTCTGGGCTCTTATATAATGTTGATATACATGTAGAGGGTGAGTACACACCCAAAAGGCTGTGGTCCTCCCCTCCCTCCCCTCCCCCTCCTCTGCCTCCCTCGCCCTCTCCCTCTCCCTCTATGTCTTCCTCTCTCTCACCTTCTCCCTCTCTCTCCCCCCTCTCTTTCTCTCCCTCTTCTTCTTCCTCTCTCTCTCCCTCTCTCTCCCTCTCCCTCTCCCTCCCTCTCTCTCGCCCTCCCTCTCTCTCTCTCTGCCAGTGTAAAAAGGGTCATTAACTCTGACCAGAGTCTGAGCAGAATCCCTGTGACTGACGCATTTCCGGGTCAGGCAGTAAGGAATCACGTATTTCTCTCTGCGCCCCCCCCCCACCCCCCACCCCATGAGCAGCTTCAGAGACTCTGGCTTCCAGGTGGCACACAGGACCGAGGGGGGCGATTCCCTCGCATTTGACTTGGGGTGAAGCCACTGAGATTCGGGATAATTATGCGTTGCCGGGCCCAGACTTGCCCACGAGAAGGCGGCCTTGGGGTATTAACTACCAAGGCTGAGCTTTGGGCGTCTAGTAAATTTTTTCCTGCTCATGCAATGACCTAGACCACGGGGGCTCAGGGTAACCTGGCATAGGTGTGACACCCGGGATTAAGGCCAAGTGCTCGAACACAGCCACCCAAACGCAGGTGTGAGCCCCTGGGGTCCTCACGAGCATCAGTGTCGAGCGTCGTGACCCACTGAGTGACCTCCTCACCTAGCCTCAGACAGTGGACACTCCCGATGGCTGCACTGTGGGGCTGACCACATCCCGAGCTGGGAGGCGTCTCCCGGGCCTCCACAGTCCTGGACTTTTGTCCCCAGAGCAGATCCCCCACTTTCTCCGGCTCAGCCCTTCCGGCAGCCGAAGGCAGGTGAGGCCTTTTGCGCCCACGCCCGCAGCCAGGTCCTCTGTCCCTGCCACCAGGTGCGGCCTTTGGAAGCTCCCTGAGGCCTCTCCCGGGGCTTGGACTCTGTCCTCGTTGCCTCCGCATCTTCGGTCTTCGTGCATTTTATTGCGCTACTCATCTCTTGTTTGAACTTTTCAAAAAGATGGTTGCACACAAATTGAAATTAAAGTCAGCAGAGGCCGTGGGATGGCACAGAGGGCGGGACGGGCCAACATTAGGTCTCTGAGGATGAATGATCCCCTTCCCCCCACCCCTGCAGAGCCCTGGGTAGTCCGGTCCCCCCCAGCACTCAGGGGCCAGGCACTGACAGGCAGGAGTCACGCCAGAGGCTGCCCCCAGGGCTGCCAGAACCGGGCAGAGGCCCGTGTGCGGCGCGGAAGGCCTAGGCCTGGTCCCCCCCCCAATCCCACAGCCCCCGGCTGCTGCCCCTCCACCAACCTTGAAGTAGCCCCAGCACAGCCGGGTGCGGCCCCAAACCCAAGGTGGTTTTAAAGTTAAAGGGAGCGACAGACTCGGGGCCTTTTCCTGCAGGCGTCCTCGCACAGGCCCCCGAGGGTGTCCTTTGTCCAGGTCTCTTTCGTGTACAGGGCTGTTCGCTGGGCATCCCGTCACCGCCCAGGCTGCTCTCACCCGGTGCCACACATCACCCGCCAAAGCTGACTCCGAGCACTGCACACATGGCCTCTGTGGAGGCCGCGGATGGCTCCGGGTTGGAGACCTGCACTGTCCGTGGCCGGACTGAGGGCTCGAGGGTGCTGTGTGATGAGGCCAGCCCACCGTGAGCAGCTGAGTGCCCCGTGGCCAGGAAGAAGGGAACGGGCTTCCTGACTGCCTACAGGGAGGTGCTCCAGACGGCTGGTCCGGGTTTCTGTGCGGCCCCTGAGTGAGCAGCCGTGTGCTGCCCACAGAGGAAGGACACCTGGAACGCTCAGAGGCCACTTCAGCAGAGACCCCTCCCATCCAGCCAGCGTGGGGGAGAGCCACGGTCCCCCGTGAGGCCCCGGGCTGAGCACAGCCTTAGCGGGCAAGCCCCAGCTCCATCCTGGCACTGCAGAGGCCCAGCACCGCCGAGAGTGGCCCCAAGCTAATCCAGGGTGACCCACAACCCAAACAGTCATTTAAAGAAATGAAAAATAATAAACGCAGGAAACCAGAGACTTGACTCTGTTGAAACAGTGACTCTGAGAACACGAACCCCCGTCTGGACTATGTGACCCTCACTGATACTCCATGACCCCAGCTTATACTCCATGGTCCCCATTGATACTCCAGGACCCCCACTGATAGCCCATGAACCCCTATCGACATTCTATGACCCCCAGTGATACTTTACAAACCCCCATTAGGACTCTATGAACCCCCTTGTCAATACTCCATGGTCCCCATTGATACTCCAAGGCCCCCATTGATACTCCATGACTCCCATTAATATTCCATGACCCCCACTGATATTCCAAGACTCCCATTGATACTCCATGGCTCCCATTGATACTCTATGACCCCACCGATACTCCATGGCCCCCACTGGACTCCAAGGCCCCTATTGATACTCCATGGCCCCCATTGATACTCCATGACCCTCTGTCTGCACTGAGGCCTGGATAGGATTCTTTATCGGCCGCCCAGCTGAGGGGTGTTACCACGTTGTGAAAACCAGGGCCAAGAGTCACATTCCAGCCTCCTGTTTCCCTTCGGCCCGGGCGCGAGTTGCGAAACCTTGGGGTGGTTCTTGGGGGCTGCGCAGAGGGAGCCCTTAGTCCCACAGGAAGGTGGGGTGAGGCATGTCCGGGTGGAGAGAGGACAGCCTGCAAGGGGAGGGCCACGGCCCCCCTTGACTTGTTAGGGGGAGGTTTGGGGGCCACGCCCAGCCGTGCTCAGGGCTCCCTTGTGGCTCTGAGCTCGGGACCCCGGTGGGCTCAGGGGGCTCTCTGGTGCCGGGGATTGAACCAGGCTCGGCTGCGCGCAAGGCCAGCGCCCTCTCCGTCTCTCCCTGCCCCCTCCCTTTGGCTGTGTGGGGGCTGTGGAAACCCCACTGTGTGGACCCCCTTCCGGGACCCCAGTGAGCCAAGCCTGTGTAGAGCGCAGCAGTGCCCCTGGGGAGCCCCGGCAG